TACGTATACTATATATATATATATATATATATATATATATATATATATATATATAATAAATCAAGAACAAAAATTTCTATTAGAATTATATCGTGAATACAACGATGTATTCCATTTAGAAGGCGATACATTAATGTGCACAACAAAAATAAAACATGAAATATCAGTGCAAATTCAGCATCGATAAACGTACGTCCTTACCGTTTACCCGAAAAACATAAAAATGAAGTAAATAAACAAATCCAAAAGATGCTAGCAGGATATTATCAGTCAATGGAACGCACCACTAGTCGTGCCGAAAAAAACGAACGTTTCAGATAAAACAAAATTACGGATTGTGATTGATTTTAGAAAACCCAAATAAGAAGGGAGGGTGTGCGTCACGGCGGGGCCCGACCACGAACCAGTCGTGAAAACTCGTAATTATTTTTGCGAAAAAATACCACCTCAGCCAGGAATCGAACCTGGATCTCCTGCTTACCGGGCAGGCATCTTATCCTTTCGACTACCGAGGCATGTGATGATATTTATCGCAAATAACGTGTTTAGAATAACACGTCAACAATACAATGATACATATATATATATATATATTACAATATACATATATACATGTATTCTTTCGAATCCCCACGACCGGTACTCCAGAGAGATGATGGTCCTATTCTCTCGATGGATGCAGGTTGGACTGCAGCGGCGACACCCTCCAACGCCATTGGCAAATATACAAATAATCCTCCTGGAGCACGACAGGAGAGATTGCATCAAGCATGGCTCGAGCCCCCGAATAGGAAGGGAGGGTGTGCGTCACGGCGGGGCCCGACCACGAACCAGTCGTGAAAACTCGTAATTATTTTTGCGAAAAATACCACCTCAGCCAGGAATCGAACCTGGATCTCCTGCTTACCGGGCAGGCATCTTATCCTTTCGACTACCGAGGCATGTGATGATATTTATCGCAAATAACGTGTTTAGAATAACACGTCAACAATACAATGATACATATATATATATATATATATATATTACAATATACATATATACATGTATTCTTTCGAATCCCCATTTGTGAATGATCTCACAATAGGAGACTCATTCTCGTTGCCCAACATAACGGATATATTTGATCAGCTGGGCAACGCGAAGTATTTCACGATATTAGATCCCGCATCAGGTTACCACCAGATACTAATGACGGAGCGAGATAAAAATAAAATCGCATTCTCTACACTATATGGCCATTATGAATTTAATAGAATGCCGTTTGGTTTAAAAACCTGCGACTTTTCAACGCCTAATGAATTCAATTCTAACGGGCTTACAAGAGATTAAATGTCTAGTTTATCTCGATGATATCGTAACATATGGACCCAGCCTTAAAGAACATAATAAAAAATTATAATTAGTCTTTCGAAAATTAAGAGAAAACAATCTAAAGCTCCAACCAGACAAGTACGAATTCCTACGGAAAGAAGTAGTCTATTTAGGACATATAATTACAGAAAATGAATTTTGTCGGATCCATTAAAATTACACGCAGTAAAAACTTTTCTTACCTTCAAAAAGATAAAGGACGTGCAAGCGTTCATTGGACTAGCCGGTTACTACAGAAAATTTATTGAAGATTTCTCGCAAATGGCAAAGCCATTAACAAAACTTACAAAAAAAGGAAAGAAATTTGAGTGATCCACAGCAAAACATTTGATATGATAAAAGACGGCCTGTATTAAGATATCCCAATTTTAAAAAAGAATTTTTCCACAAATGCGTCGGACTATGCAATAAGAACCATGCTATCGCAAAGCGAAGTAGATCAGGATCACCCCGTCGCGTACGCCAGCCGCGAGCGGAACAAAATTATAACATTACAGAAAAGGAATTATTAGCAAGTATATGGACAGTCAAACATTTTAGACCATATTTATATGGAACTAAATTTAAAATCATTACAGATCATAAATTGTTAATATGGTTATTTAACGTTACGTTACTCCCGACCGACACGCCGACTAAACCTTTTGAGAAATGCGCATTACATATAGTAGGACCACTATCGATCAAATGGAAACAAATATGTGTTAACATTCCACGATACAAAATTCAGCAAAGAAATACCAGTACAAAACCGAAGCGGCAACAATTGCGAAGGAATTTGTAAAAAACATCGTATTAGAATACGGAATTCCAGATAAAATCCTGACCGACAAGAAACAAATTTCACCAGCGAACTATTCAAATATGTGTAAATTATTAAAAACAAAATTACAAACGACGGTCTACCGGAAATTTATTCGGAAATAAATGGAGCTTAAAAGATCACACCGGACATTAACTAAATATTTACGACATTATATTAATGAGGAACAAACGGATTGGAACGAGTGGATCCCGTATGCGATGTTCGCCTATAATACAACCCCGCATACCGCCACTAGTTTCACGCCGTTTGAACTAATCTACGGGCACCAAGCACCGTTATCGACGGCCTTAACTAGCTAAACTAAATCTTCATATTCGTATTGTGGCGGTCACCGCCACTCTGGCCCAGCGACGAGCGCGCTGGCGCGCGCCGCCGCGCTGCCACGCGCCGACACCGTGGGCCCGCGCACGATGAGAGTGATCCATGCGCTCGCCATGAGATGGCCAACCGGTCAATCAGCTACTCGTGCGCGGAAAACCACACCACCGCTATATAAGAGCGGCTAGCACCATCGATCGGCACTACCCCTCAGTGCGCTCTGGGGCCCGTACACGGTTTAAGAAGCGCTGAGGTCTGACTGCTTGCGGTCAATTACACGACCTTTTTTGCGGCTGGCGTTACCGACCACTCATAGGTCGTACTCTCCTCGGTGGCCGTTCACGCCATAGAGGGACTCCTCACCCTCCGACGCGGTCGTTCACGCCGTGCCTCCTCTCGTCGAACTCTCTTCAGCGGCCGTACACGCCGTTGAGCGGGACTTCCGGCATCCCTGCCGAGAGGCAACTGGACGAGCCACTGCCGCCGACTCCGGAGGAAGGCCACGCCGCGGAGACGACGCAGGAGTACGCCAGCCAAGGACCAGACTCCGCCACCACGTCGCAGCCACCTCTGCACAGTCGCCGACCTCGCAGCCGCATCCGCCCGTGCCCTAGCAGCCTGCTGGCCGCCATCACCACGGGGAGGCCTACTCCCGCCGCCAGGACCAGCACAGAGCGGACAGACTTCTCGGCTGGGAGGACGACGAGACGGCCAGGCACCGACGCATCCCGGAACACCGGCGACACCGCGCCGACCAGAGCCCGCGCCACCAGCGCGGAGGAGCGACCATCGCCCCACGGCCTCTGGGCGAGAACGATTAGTCGAGTTGTTTGGCGCCCTCTCAACTTCCTCCTCATCCGCAGATAGCCACACGTCCGGGCCAGCATCACGGACACCACCGCGTCCAAGCGCAGCTCCGCGGAATTGCTCGCCTACGCCGGGCCGCAACATCCACTTTCCGGCCCGCAGGGACGCACGCAGCGAACCAACTACCCCGCAACGGGCGAGGTTCTCGCCACAGATTGCGGCGCATCGCTGCCCGCCTGTTCCAGGCTTCACCGGACTACGCCCAGAGCCCACTAGCAGTCCGTGGCGCCTTATACCATTGGACCTGGGGAGTATCACACGGGGAACGCCCCGCCGAGACCACCGGCAGCCTTCGTTCCACGCCGCCTCTCAGACTGAGGCCTCGCCATCCGTCGGAAACGCACTGACGACCCGTGCCAGGACTACTCACCACGGCGGGGCTGGTGCCCGCGAGAGAAGAGCGCAGTGATACCGAGAGGAACCTCGCGACCCGGTCACCTCCGGAGGCACATCATACACACGGGGGACACAGACCCCCACGCCACGCTCCTAATGTTCACGACATCCTTCTTTGTATTTTTTAAGAATATAAAAATGTACTTGTGAGATTTGCCTTATTCTGGGAACCAGCACGACAAACCTTCCTTTCCCTGTCGCCCATTCCGCTTTGCACACACGAAAGCAGACAGCGGACTGGTTGCGCCGGAACCACATCAGATGCTCAACGACTACATTGGTGGACACACGAACCACCACATTGGTGTACAACCACAACACCATAGTATGATAACTACACGCAAGAATCCGAACTGTCAATCAAATCGCGAAGCACATGGCAGAAAAGAAAAAAAAACGAAGGAACATTACGACAGAAAAACGAAAATACGTACATTCAAAGTAAGAGATAAAATCCTACGATGAAACAGTTTGACGAAAGTGATCGAAAAAACTAGACGCAATATAGATAGGACTCTACGTAATATTAGAAAAAATAGGTGACGTAAATTATAAAATAAAGATGGGCCGCCGAACAATAAATGTACATGCGAATCGAATAAAAGCGTTCATCAAGAATTTAAAAAAAATAGAATAAAAGCGCAATATAAAGTAAAAAAATATAATAAAAAGTAAAAAAGTAGGACAGAAAAATTACCGACAGAAAAATTCATATAGCAGATCCATATACAGATGATAGTTCCCAATAATAAACTATATACTAAACTATATATTAAAACTATACTATACTAAAAACTATATATACTATATATAACTATATATAACTGTATATAACTAAAAATAAAGTAACAACTAGTATACTATACTAAGAAACTGCAGCACTACATTAAAAATTAAAAGTCAAATGCCCCATTTTCCGAGAACTATCCGGCGAGGGTGGGCCACTCGTCCTCTAAATCGCTGGCCGGGATCCTTCAATGGATCGTTCGCCAAGTCATCCTCTGCGTCCACAGAGAAAAAACAGTAACTCATACAGTTCGACATGGTAATTCAATAATCTCGGCATCCGGGTCATTCGGAATATATAAAATACAGTTCTCATCTATCTGAAACACGTCATCGTTATAAAAAGTTTGTATAATAAACATCCACTCCCGCACGCGATCATAAAACTCACAATTCGTAAAAGCGTTTAAAAAATTATCCAACTCCGGATTGTCACCCTCGGGGATGACGAGATCCATCTCAGGTGACATTTCGCGATCGGAGGTTCATGCATAATTAAAACTAAACAAAATAATATCGAAAACGGATTAATAAATCAACAAGAAATTTTGCGTGATGTTTTTCTTATAAATAATATTGTAAAAGTAATTAATAGTGACACTCGTATGTATATAATTAATACAACAGAAAAAGAATTAAACATTGAGATATCCGTAATCAATGTAGATATAAAGCCAATGTTAATGTTGACACGAGAAGGATAACCCTACATACTTAATAGATTCAGTTATCTCAAATAATTTAACGGATAGATTGAAAACATTAAAAGAAAAATTTATGATTAGATCACTTAAATAAAGAAAAAAAGCTCTTTATATTACCAATTATTGAAAATTACAATGACATGAATTTCGGGAGATAAACTAAAAGGTACAAATAGAATTGCACATTCCATTTTTACAGATAACTTTCCGATAGTTGTAAAGCAATATAGATATCCTCCTGTTCATAAAGAGAAAATAAAATAACAAGTTAATAAACTACTCGATCAAGATATTATTCAACCATCTCTTTCTCCGTTTAATTCTGTTCTGTTAGTTTGGATAGTGCCGAAAAAACCCGACACCGATTGTAATAAAAGATGGAGATTAGTAATAGATTTCCGTAAACTAAATGAAAGAAAAAACAGTCGGGGACACATATCCTTTGCCAAATATAACGGACATTCTTGATTAGCTAGGTAAAGCTAGATACTTCTCATGTTTTGACTTATCTTCGAGTTTTCATCAAATTCTTATGAATCCAAAACTCAATAAAAACAGCTTTCAGTATACGATCATTATGAAAAAATGTCCTTCGGACTGAAGAATGCCGCGGCATTTCAAAAACTAATGGATAACGTTTTAACGTTTGCAAGGAAACATTTGCTTCGTTTATTTAGACGACATCGTCATCTATGCGGAATCATTAAAAGAACATACAAAAAAACTTATTCAATTCTTTGAATGATTAAGAGAAATCGGTCTTAGTTTACAATCGGACAAATGCTTTTTCAAAAAAGAATTGCTTTATTTGGATCATATATTATTTCTGAAAATGGCGTGAAACCTAACTCAGAAAAAATAAAGGCTGTAAAAGAATATCCTGTCCCGAAAAATCATAAAGAGCTTAGATAGTTTTTAGATCTTGTAGGATATTATCGACGTTTTATTAAAAATTTTAGTACAATTACCCAACCTTTTACATCACTTTTTAAAAAAAATATACCGTTCAAATGGGAAATGCAATAACAAATAAATTTTGAAAAAAATCAAAGAATTATTGTCGAACGAACCTATATTATAATATCCAGATTTTAGTAAGGAATTTATATGAACTACAGACGCGAGCAATGAAGGAATCGACGCGGTTCTATCACAGGGTAAAATCGGATACGATCTTCCTATTATATATGCTTATGCTTCCCAGACAACAAAGCAGAATGTAATTACGATATCATAGAAAAAGAACTCTTAACCATCGTGTGGGCTACAAAACACTTTCGACCATATTTATATCGCCAAAAAATTTAAAATAATAACCGACCATAAACCACTAATTTGGCTTTTTAACGTTAAAGATCCATTATCTCGTTTAATGCGGTGGAGACTAAAATTAGAAGAATATGACTACAAAATTTTATATAAAAAAGGAAAACAAAACACTAACGCAGATGCTCTTTCTAGAATACCGCAAATATCAGTCTTACAAAGTAAAGCTTCGAGTAGCAATCATGTAAATCCTAGTCACAGTTTATTTTTACAACATTAAACGATTATGGAAAATAGATAATATAATTCCTCAGACTTCAAGCAATATAAAAGAATTATTAGTAAAAAAAGCAATCCCTTCCCCAAAAATTAAAATTACATTATCTAAAAGTGACGGAAACAAAGTAGAAAATATAACGCTAAGGAAATATTAACGAAATTAAAAAGAAACGCTCAACCGAAATATATCTTATTACGCGAGAAAATAAACAAGCATCTATAAATCTAAAAACTATATTCGAATGTTTAATTAAATTAAAAGAATATGCTATCTCTTATAATCAAACGATAATATCAATAGCCCCAATAGGAGATATTACAAATAAAAAAAATCACTCAAATGATTAAATGTATATTCAAAGACACAGCAATCAAAATATTCTTATTAAAACCCGTACCTAAAGAAATCACTGATCCGAATACAAAATAAGATATACTTAAAGAATTGCATAATTAAAAAATTGATGATCATAAAGGCATTACGAAAACGTTAAAACGAATTCAATAATATTATTCATGGGATGGCATGAAACAAGATATTAAAAACTATATAAAAGCTTATCACGATTGCCAAAAACAAAAATTAGTCCGCGAAAAGACAAAGGCTCCTATGTTAATTACAGATACGCCAAGCGAAGCATTTCAAAAAGTTGCGATAGACATTGTAAGACCTCTACCGGAAACAGAAATTGGGAATAAATATATATTAACGACGTAAGATCAATTGACAAAGCTTTACACAGCATATCCATTATCAGATACTATAACTGTAGCTAATATAATAATTAATAAATTTATTTATATTTTTGGTTCACCTGCAGAATTGTTATCCGATCAAGGTAATAATATATATAATATCTGGAGAAATAATGAAAGAAGTTGCTAGAATTTTTAAAATAAAACAAATCAATACTAGCGTTTATCATCCACAATCAAATGGATCATTAGAACGTTCTCATCATGTATTAGCCGAATACTTAAAACTTTATATTAATGAGCATCAAAATAATTGAGTTTCTAGACGCTGCAATGTTTTCATATAATATTTCGTATCATGAAAGTACAAAGATATGAATTAATATCCCTCCCTCCCCCCTTATAAAGGGGGAATTACAGCATTAAGAATGTAAAGTAGCAAGTTTAAAAATTAATAGAGAAACCGTTAACGATTTAATAGAACGAGCCGATGATGTAAATGAATTCAAGCGTAGATCCAAACGAGGCGTTTTTTATTTTGTTGGTCAAATAGCGAAAATTCTTTTTGGTACACTAAATTCATCCGATGCTGATCATTATAATGAACAAATAGATCTAGTATATAATAACTCACAATTAACGAATCTATATAAAAAACAAATAAGTATTATTCAATCTGCAATTGATACTTTTTCGGATGCTTTTACGGCAAATAAACAGAAATTTAAGGAAATAAATTTTAACTTAAATACATTTAATAAAGAAATTTTGAAAAACACAAAAACGTTATCTGATGTCAGATATCAAAATTAATTCATATTTCATAGAATGTTCAGAAATGATGCTTGAATACAAATTAGAATTAGAAATATTAACAGATGCCATATTACTAGCACGTCGAGGCTTGATTCATCCAAAAATACTTTCATCAAAAGAATTGTTCGATAATTTAAAAGTAACTCAATATGCATTAGATGATAAGCGATTGCCTGTAGCCTTAAAACCTAATGAATTTACTAGATGAATTTGGTAGATGTTAGCGACATAAGCGTATTTTATAAAAATCATCGTTTAATTTATGTAATAGAAATGTCGTTAATTGAATAAAAAGATTTCGCTTTATATTACACAATCCCACTCAAGTAGAATGAGAGGGGTATTTATGCATTCATAAATCCAATTTATACTTATTTAGGTCTTAGATCCGATAAACAACTGTATACTCATTTAACGGAACATGATGTATCTAAATGTAAAAAGATTAATAACGTAATGATTTGTAAACAAACGGATTTATTATATCAAATTTCATCGATTCATAACTGCGAATCGGAATTATTAAAATCTGCTAGATTAGAAAGTATATTAAAAAAATGCGATAGTCCGAGTAATGAAAATTCACAATACAATTTGGTATCAGTTAAAAGCTATAAATTCATGGTTATATACTGCCCCTCGAAACGAAACCCTTCATATTTTATGCGAGGATAACAAACCGCGACAAACTTTCCAAATTATTTTCCACTGGACTTATTAAATTATCAGCGAATTGCGGTGTCATTTCAGACAATGCTCTGTTACGTAGTCGAAAAACGGGAATTATTAATACAATTGAGAAAGATCTAATGTTAAACTTAATACGAGCAAATTATGCGAAAACCTTAAGAAACATAATGTATTTCAGATCTCCCTTTATTAAATATTGGCAAGACTCCTAATTTAGATGTCCATTTGTTAAAAACAGCAAGCACTGCTTTAGACGAAATTTATAGAGAAGCGGAAGAATTAGGTAAACATCATCGTACAGAAACATTTTATCGAAAAGTAACTGGATGGTTTTATTATATATTATATATTAGTATCGGTCTAATTATTCTATATATTATATAATAGGGAAATGTTCATTAATAAGCAAATTTATTCACATTGTTAAAGTCTGTTGCGTACCAAAAAAAGATTGTACTCAATATTTCTACAAATGTTTCAATAATAATGTTAACACCCGCTATCAACAAAATAATATTTGGCAGGTAGTTACATTTATCTCGATACTTACCGAAGATAATGAACTCCCAAGATAGTATAATTTTAGAATTCAAAAGAAATACGGAGACACTCCGATCTCGTTCTCGTAATGATCGACTCTCAAATTTAATTTAACGTTAATTGTAAGCGACGTACATATATAAGTAATATTTGCATATGATTACATTAAACTACTAAATAATTAACTTCTTTTGCGTATGTATCAATATGTTATGATAACCTTAGAATTAAATTACCGTATTGTCATATTCGGAATATTATTATTAAGTTATACAAATTGATTATAATATGATTGATTACATCTGCGAAACTCGAATATATTTTACGAAATATCAAGAAGGATCTTCAATTTAAGGGGGAAGGTGTTACGTGCAATTCGAGAACCTTTTTTCTTATTCCTTTTATCGAGTAGATTTTAAATGTCCCGATTAAAATAGTTTTGAACATTCTTTTTTTCTTTTTCTCAATAAATAGGACCCGACACTTTCCAATAGACTCCAAACAGTTATCCCGACACACTTTCACTTCGTGATTGTTATAACCCTAACAGCACGCGTACATTCTGAGTATGTTCTGAGAAGATCGCAATGTGTATATTGCGATCTCAGAATATTCTCATACGTACTACGATCGACTAAGTATGTTCTAAGTACGTTCCTATGTCCTATGTAACATCTTCCATGGAATTTCGTCGCGAATATTCGTAGCAAATGATGACAGTATTAGGAAAGGATATTAGAAAAGGATGAAAACGAGAAGTTTTCAGTAGATTATGGTTGCATTTCGATATTGATTGCTAGTATTGAAAATCTATAATATACGTGATACCCCTTACGGAAAATAAGTGAAAAAAAATGAAAAAATTTAAAAAAAATAAGAGAAAGTGCTAAAACATTTTTTATCTTGGTACCATCGCATGTCTCTAAAATGATCACCCATCCAACTTGGGATCCTAGCTCGGTGCTGCTTCACTTCTATATATTGGAATGAAACCTGCTATTGAAATAATGATATAAATAAATACAGAATCTTGGCATAAAATATGATAGATCTGGTTAATAAATGTTACTATATTGTCGTATAAACAGTCTCAATTTTAAAATCTCGATTGCATAAGTAATTCTTATAGATAATTTAATTACATATATAAAGTCGTGAATATATTATGCTTAATGAGAATCATTTTTCTTATGAAAATTATTTATAAATTGTTATATATATTTTGTTTACTTGTTTATGAATTTGTTAATAATTGTATTAAATATGCAAAATATTTTTCTTATTTGTTATAGTTCATATGTTATAGTGAAATTAGTTAATTAAAGAAAGATAGTAATTAATAATGTTATTTCATTATTTATTTATTAAAAATGGCTTAAAAACGATTAAATGACGATATATTTATGACGATAATATTAATATTTTGTGACAAATGTTACATCTATAGAATATACGCACGCGATAGAAAGGCGTACGTATCATTTCTGTATTTTTGTATAACCTGAGAATATACGCATGAGATGAAAAAGCGTATGTATCGCTGCGTAAATCCTGAGACTATACGTGTGCGAAAGAAAACCGAATGATATTGTCTGATGTTCTAGCGTGGGTCTCACAAGGAAAGTATCGGAAGTATCCCTCCCCGATTTTAATGAGCTTCGAGCTATGTTAAAATATGGACAAAAATAAGAGACACATATTTTTTTATCTGCGTTCTCGAATGTTAAGGGGGTGAAACCACCCCTTGAAAAAAAATTTTTTTCTGAGTAAATATCGTCCAAACCATTAAAGATATTAAAAAAGTTTTAAACAAAAGTTTTATGGCTGCACTTTACGACTACGTATTCAAATTTTTCAAAAATGTTATATTTTCGAGCCCCCCTATCCTCTTCCCCTAATTTTAAAAATTTTTAATTTTATAAGAACATGAATTCAAGAGCAATTTTATGTTGCGAGAATACAATGGTATATAATAAAGTTATTTTCTGAAATCGCATTTTTAAGAAATGAGCGAGATATACCTCTATATACCTGCTCCATACGTATTCGTCTCATACTGCGTTGTGCGGGACAACGTTAAAGATGAAATATATATGATGCATATGATGCAGTTCGTAAGTATAGTATTAGTACAACAATAATTGTTGAAATAAGAACTTTTTAATACCTTTTTAATTACTTGTTTTATACTTTTGTTGTATCCCGGATGGGCTACGACGTTAATATTCGGGATAGTCGGGTTCGCCAAGCTTAAGGAATTGGAATTCCGAGCAAGATCAAAGGAATGTAGGGGTTCTCTTGAAATCACTAACACACACTTTCTTTACTTTAATTGATTTATTTTAACAAGCGTACAAATATTTGATATTATAATGATTATATTTTACACACGTTTACGCGTCGTCGAGCGGCTCGGCGCGTCTCGCGTTACTCTGGCGGCCGATGACCGAGTGACACCTGAGATGCTGATAATATAGCTCGCGGCTTCACGACGGGATTCCGTAATATCTTGCCCGACTTTTATAATATTGATTCCGCACGACTTATAATTTCGACTCTCCCTTATTTCGCCTTGTATAACCGATTATATAAACTGCCCGATCAGCATTCCGCTCGGTTGCGTCGATTGATTGCGTGATATTGATTGATCAATATCACGTTCGATTCGATTATCAAATTTGCTGATAGGCTTTTCGCAATATTCTCGCGCGATGCGTTTCTGCAGTCTTTCGAAAGACTAATTGCAATTTCGGCGATCACACATTTGTGTCGTCTTTCGAAAGATTTTTTCCGAGATTCATGCGGACTACTTTTGTTGCTATGCAGACTTTTATTATTAGTTGTAGGTCTGGCTACAACACTTTTCAAATACTTTTTGTTATAATAATAATAATCATCAGAACAAAATTGTATCAGACAGCTCGTATAAATTAACAAGAGGAAAGAGAAGCCAGTGAACAAGTGAAAATGAAGTGTCATAATAAAAATAAATTCGAATAAACAATATTTATTGATGATGAATGAACAATATTTATAGATATAACACAATTAGCAGAGTTACTTTCATTTGATTCAGCGAACCAGTTTTTATGCATTTACAATTTCTTTTCGTTTTTTATCGCTTTTGTTAAAATTGCTGAAGAAGGCTCCGTGAAGTCGAAATGTACAATATCAAATTTATATTGAAGGTGACATTGCTAATTATTGTTTTTACAAATATTGTTTACTCGAATTTGTTTTTGTCATTTCGTTTTCGCTCGTTGGCCTCTCTTTCCTCTTATTGATAATAATCATAAGCATAATCTTAATAATGATAGTGGGTTTGTTAAACAATATTCAAATATTTTTGATGATATATCAAAGAATGTATGCAGTACCGTGGACAATTAAAAACAAGTTACAAATAAAGAAATGATTATTTTTATAAAATATCGTTTATTTAATTTTGTTTGGTCATACGACAGCTATTGCAGTGCTTACGATAGCTATTGCAATGTTATGTATATATTTTATTGATCAACATTTATATTTCATAGTATCTTATTATCACAACTCCATGCAAGAAATAAATTTATGGAGATGTAGTTTTATCTATAATACATATATTGTTTACATACGCATCGGATGAAATTTTGATAAAAATTTCGAAACCTTTGTTTCACTCCTTCAATTCTTTTTGAATTTGTCTTACTACTTCTTCAAAATTCAATTGCTTTTCTTTATATAATATATTCTACCGAGATATATCGACGATATTACATAACATTTTTTAGTGAATTCTATTTTTTCTGCATCTAGTATATCAAATGCGGTTTGAAAATCTAATGATTCTTCCATTTTATGTTAATTATTTAAATAATTACTTTAAACAGCTAATTTATAATGAATTTAATATATCTTTGTAACAACTGATTATTTTACAAAAAATTTGTTGGACAAGAAGGATGAATAATTTTGTATAATATATAGATCATGTATTATGTCTAAAAATCTTTAAAAAATATTATCAAAATTAATAAATTATTGATTAAAAAATTCTTAAATTAATTAAAATAAATAACTATAATTTCAACTTAAATAATTAATAAAATAAAAAATGTATGAAAATCTAAACTAAAAATCAATAAAAATTTTTATAACTTTTTTTTAAGTACATATTTATTTATTAAGCTCATATCTCTCACTTGTATCGATCGATAATACTTTAGAGAATTAATTATAAAACTGTGATAATACTTTAGAGAAATTAATTATAAAACTGTGAATTCGTTGCGATTTGCATTCTTTTATATTAACGTTCATGCAAACAATGCTCATGTAAATAATATATGCAAAAACTATGCCTCAGCAAATATATTTCTTGCGTAGCGTTGCGATAATAAGACATTATGACACGAAATATAAATGTTGATCAATAAAATATATTCATAATATTGCAATAGCTACCATAACATTGCAATAACTACCGTATGACCAAAATTAAATAAATCATATTTTATAAAATTAAATAAATCATATTTTATAATCATTTCTTTATTTGTAACTTGTTTCTAAATGTCCAAAGTGCTTCGTATCTTTTCTAATACATTATCAAAAATATTTGACTTCCATTTAACAAAACCTGCTATCATTATTACTATTATTATTATTCTCATTATTAGTATTATAAAAAGCCTTTATTTCAATAATTATTGTTGCATTGATACAGTACTGATGAACTGCATCATATTCACCTTTAATGTTGTCCCGCGCAACCAACGCGGTATGAGATGAATATGAGATGAATATGGAGCGCGTATATAGAGGTATTTCTTCGCTCATTTCCTAAAAATATGATTTCGGAAAATAACTTTATTATGCCGTTGTATTCAGTATAAAATGCTCTTGAATTCATATTCTTATAAAAATTTACAAACTTTGAAAATTAGGGGGAGGGACTGGGAAGTTCGAAAATATAACATTTTTGAAAAATTCGAATACGTCATTGTAAAGTGCACTTGCAGCTGTAAAACTTTTGTTTAAAACTGTTTTTGATATCTTTAACGGTTTGAACAATATTTATTCAAGGAAAAAAAACCGATTTTTTTCAAGTGGTAGTTTCATCCCCTTAACGTTCGAGAACAGATAAAAAAAATATGTGTCTCTTATTTTTGTCCATATTTTAACATACTCGAAGCTCATTAAAATCGGGGGACAGGGACACTTCCGATACTTTCCTTGTCAGTACGTTACAGATAATCACAGTACAAGCAGTACAAAAATAGGATGATTCGCAGTATGTTGCGTGCTGTTAGGAAAGGATTGTTACTTTATTACTTTATTATTAGTCGTATCCAAACAAATCATCTCAATACATGTCAACACATTTTCCAATTCTCACGTTGTTTCTCTTTTAGAAAACCCTTCTAATCACCATGCTTTGTATCAAAACTCGTTGCATTATCGAGAAACACGGTCGTGACTCGTCGCCAAGTATAAGCATCAGAGCTTCATGAGCGCGAGACTGGCCATATCTCTTTGGCCAGTCGCGAGCCTGCGAGTTGCTGAGTGTCAAGATTATCGGATCTCAATAACGACTGATCCGATCAAGTTCTGAATAGGCGCAATCGATAGCTTAGGTTTAAATTATAATAATAAAAGTATTTTTAATTTTCTTCTACGTGTCCTGTGAGTAGAGATATTACAATTCAAAGTCTGATTCTATAGAAATTTACTTTTAAGAAACGTCGTCGTTATTATTGTCATCATTATTATTATCGCCATCCATATGGGCTATGGTTTGCCACTGAGATTGATGTTGAAACAGCGGCGCTAGCGATCAATCTTTCGAAATGATGTACGCATACGAGAGCGAGCGAGACAGTGAAAAAGCGAGATGATGAAAGAGCGATATGAGAGCGTGCGAGATAGCGAAAGAGCAAGCGAGATAGTGAAAGAGCGATACGAGAGCGAGCGAATGGATATTTATATATGGATATTTATATATTATTTTTACAAAAAAGTTTAAGTAAAAATATATAATAAGTAGTAAAATATAGATGCAGATTTTACATAATATATTTCGAAATTTTCATAAATAATTTTTGTACAAAAGTTTACTTTAAACTAAATTTGCTTATATTTCATTGCATATAAGTTATTTCTATATATTATATATAATAAATTTATTAAGGGCAATCATAATTTTATAATAAAGAATTGTGTCATCTCTTATAATGTCTGTCGATATTTAATTTTATTTATACCTTATTTTTATTTGCAAAAGCTTTTACAGTTTCTCCATTTTTTTTATGTATCACCGACATATACAGTTGTACAGGATTTATCATCATGTTATAATGTAATCATGTGATCAAAAATGAAAATATATATAAATATATATATTTATAAAATGCTTAACACAACAAAATAAATATATCACAATAAACTTACTTTTTATAAAAAAGGAAAAAAAATCGCCAAATATACGTGCAGTGTGTATGTGAAAGATTACTACAAGTTGACGCGCAGTATGTTTGTGAAAACTTAAGCACATATCTTTGCATCAAAGATCCAAATATTATATTACAAAATTACGTCTTACTGATAATATATTTCAAATAATATATAATATTCACCTGTAATAATATGTATTATTTGTAAAAAAGATTTGATCAAAAAGTGGCAAGTTATAGTTATATAAAAAGGTTACTTTTTAATAGAAAAAAAGTTTTTCAATTACTGTCCCAAACTATATCTTCTTAAAAAAATAAAAATAAAATTCAAGATTTATATTTTTCCACTCGAGAATTTTTCACTTTATTTAAGTTTATATTTACAAAATTACGCAATCTTATATCTAATGTTCGAATAGTATATAATATTCAATTCTAATATTTGTATAAAAGATTTGATATCAAAAAAGTGGCGCCAAGTTATAATTACATTATCTGGAATGTTCAATCTTTTTAAAAAAATAAGAATAAAATTCGACACACATCTTTGCATCCAAGAATTTTTCTATTTTAATTCTATTTTAAAATATTAGATTACAAAATTGCGTAATTATTTCTATAAAAAACATGAAAATGGCCCAAACTTTTAATCCTATAAAGTAGAAAAGAAATTTTACAAAGGTGAAAAAAGATGTTATTAATCCAAAATTAATGTCAATTTATAGTTGCCAAAAAGATTTTATTGAATTGTTGTACTTGTGTTTATATAAAAATAAATATAAAAGAAAATCTGTAGTAAAAAAAAACGTACAAAAACTTGACGCGTCTGGGTCGTATCAAAACTATTTTAATAATAATATTGAACTATGATATTTCTTTTTCAATTATTAACTAAATAAAATTAATGAAATATATAATTAATTATTAATGGAACTATTTTTTACATAAATAATGCAAAGAAACTTAAGTAGTTTTTTTTTATTAGAATATTATCTAATATGAACGCATGTTTTAATATTTATTAATAAATTTATTAATAAATTAATAAATTATATAAAAATTTTATTTATAAATATTTTTAAAAGTAATATTTACATTATTAATGTAAAAAGATAAACAGTAAGAGTAATACAGTAAGTGTGCAATGTAATACAGTAAGTGTGTATGTACATGTTTTAATGTGATCCGAGCACGCCAAGTTTTTGTACATCGTTTTTTTTTACACATCAGATTTTCTTTTATATTTTATTTTTATATAAACACAAGTACAACAATTCAATAAAATCTTTTGGCAACTATAAATTGACATTAATTTTAGATTAATAACATCTTTTTTCATCTTTGTAAAATTTCTTTTCTACTTTATAGGATTAAAAGTTTGGGCCATTTTCATGTTTTTTATAGAAATAATTACGCAATTTTGTAATCTAATGTTTTAAAATAGAATTAAAATAGAAAAATTCTTGAATGCAAAGATGTGTGTCGAATTTTATTCTTATTTTTTTTAAAAAAATTGAACATTCCAGATAATGTAATTATAACTTGACGCCACTTTTTTGATATCAAATCTTTTATACAAATATTAGAATTGAATATTATATACTATACGAACATTAGACATAAGATTGCGTAATTTTGTAAATATAAACTTAAATAAAATAAAAAGTTCTCAAGTGGAAAAATATGAATCTTGAATTTTATTTTTATTTTTTTAAGAAGATATAATTTTGATCAATAATTGAAAAATTTTTTTTCCATTAAAAAGTAATCCCTTTATAACTATAACTTGGTGCCACTTTTTGATCAAATCTTTTATACAAATAATACATATTATTACAGGTGAGTATTATATATTATTTGAATATCAGTAAGATGACATAATTTTGTAATATTTGGATTTTTAATGCAAAGATATATGCTTAAGTTTTCACAAACACACTGCGCGTAAACTTGTAGTAATCTTTCACATACACACTGCGCGTACACTTGGCGACTTTTTTTACTTTTTTATAAATTGGTTATTACATTAACGAAAATATCGCCTATCAACTTGGACGATGATCCTTCTTGAACACGAAGTTCAGTTCTCGTCAAACACTCGAAGCGGAAACAATTCTCGTCAAGTGTATCGTGCGTGAAAAAATAAAGTTCAATCTTTAAGAGAAGATTTTGATCTAGGAGCTTGATTTTTAGGCTATCTTCATGAATTTTTTCTGAAAAATTCATAAGGTCTATTCAAATCAGAGTTTCTGCTACATATTAGTACACATTTCAAGTATCTTGTATCTTTCAGAATTTTTTTATTGTAATATTCTAAGAAATAAGCCCTGTATAAGTTTTTGTGAGATCATGAAAAAAATAAGGCGCTGCAAGGTGCCCATGATTGCGGTTGTTCTGTTCATCTGAAACAAAAAAACCAGAGATTTTTAAAGCATATGAGTTTGACTATCATTTGACTCGTAATAAAAGAAAAATATTAGAAAGAAATAAAATAACCATTTTAAAAATTATTTTCCGATTTTTTCGAAATTTTTTTATCTTTAAAGTGCTGTAAAACAGTGCTATAAAATAATAATAAACATTTTGACTTCAGTGTGAGTCAGACGATAGCCAGACTCATATGCTTTAAGAATCTCTTTGTTTCTTGTTTTTTTGTTTCTAGATAAACAGAATCAGTTCATGAGCATCATGCAGCGCCTTATTTTTTTCACAATCTCACAAAAACTATTATACAGGGCTTATTTCTTTGGAATATTACAATAAACAAATTTTGAAAGATACTTGAAATATATACTAATATGTAACAGAAACCCTGATTTGAATAGATCTTACAAATTTTTCAGAAAAATTCATGAAGATAGCCTAAAAATCAAGCTTCTAGACCAGAATCTCCCCTTAAGACAGTTCCCTTTTGATTTCTTATTCCTTCATATTACATCGCGACTTGCACATAACAGCATATACGCTTTACGGAATTCAACCCATGTTTTTGATAATAAAGCAAATAAGTACGTGCAACTATATATTGTTGTTAAATTATCATTTTCTAACTTACCGATATCAAAAACTTTGACATTAAAAAAATGGAACTTTAGCGATGACTTTTCTTTTTAGAATATATTTTACGTATGAAAATACACAAATGTACAAAATTACAAAAAATCGGACAAGAGAGCGTTATACTGCATATTTCTTTTTGATATTTAGAAGAAGATATCGATGAATGGTAAATTTCTCGATGTTGAAATTGATCGGAGTATTGTGGTTGGAGTCAATCGAAGACATAATATCAAAACATTCCAAACGTTTGAATGAGATAAACAATAAGCAATATATAAACAGTATAGTATTTATATGTTTAATAGAAATAATCTGTCAAAAACGAATTCTATTTATATTGTAGAGATATACGTGACGATCATATATTAAGTAATAGAAACGAGATGAGAGCTATATTAATATTTGACCACTTGAATGACGTGCTATTTGTAAAATGCAACAAAAAATTTACAAATCATATCTTAAAACTGGCGAGGACGCAGGGATTACTTGATGATAAGGTAGTAGGTTTCGTTAATAGTAAGCTATGATTGATCTTGTGTTTATAACCTTTTGGAGTTTTATAAAAGTTCTTTTGAATGTTTCAGAAAGAAAGAGCAAATAAATTATTAATAAAATATTATGATGTTTAAATATGACAATTTAAATGAAATAAATTACAATATTAGTTGTTAATAAGTAACTATAAACTTCTTGTAGGATATCACAGATTTGGAAGATTCTATACCAAATCCTAACATTATAATGCAGTTGTTTTCACCAATAATTACTTCACAACATGTAATGGCTTCACAATTTGGAAACTCCTATACTTCCATGAAGTTCCAAGATGAAACTAACATCGTATTTGATGAATACATTGGCTATACTTTCATGTATATTGCCATGAAAGAAGTAGAATTCATGAAACGTACACTAGGAGTATGTATATCCATTGTACAACATGTATGTGGACCAGACGTTGCAACGTTAGTATATATAATTAGTATACTAATAGAATTTCTTTTGATATGTCTCTCAACATCTATTATAAAAAGCCATTTATTTTCTGTTTCTTGTAATATGATTATTAAATACAATGATTTTATTACTATTAATAAACTATAATAATTATATCTTGATAAATAATTGTTAATAATTGTTAATAATTATTAATCTTTAGTTAGTATAATTGTTTATTAGATTAATTTTAATTTTACAGACTGAAAACTAATTGGCAAAAGATGCATCTAGTATCCTCTTTGTTGGACGCATGGTCTAATTTAAGAAACTGTGAACAAAGCATATTGACAGAGGCAGTAGAACAGTTGTCCGTAAATGCAGAAGTAGCATCTTCAGTTCTCAAGATATTGCACGATGCCTATGACAAGTTGAAGAGTTCACAGCCTGAATTTAATAATGTACATGTGCTGTTACTGGTGGGCTCCAAATTCTTGTCACTTTATTCTAGCAAAAATGCTCATGACCTATTCGCATCAGACATCTTATTGATGATTCTTCTGTGTTGGGTTGTGAATAAAAAGCGGAATCGTGATCAATCAGAAAGCAATGATGATTGCTGTGATAGTGATATCTTGTTACCAGAGAATAATACTTCCAAAAACGATGAAACAAAACTAAGCTTTGGAATTAAATTAACCACTCCTACCTCAGAGGATATTACAGATCTTTTCAGTAAGTTTCTGCATTAGTTACTTATTTTTGTTAATAAATAAATATATATATATATATAAATAATTTGGTATAATTAAAAAATTTTTACTGAACAAAAAATGAATTTAATTTAAACTAATTTAATTTGTAGGAGGTTCCAGGGAATCTTCTATGAATGAAGGTTTTTCATTCTTGATTAATGATGATCTATACAGCCAGTTGCTTTTTCTTGGTTGTCAGCATAACTATACAGCCAATACAGTTCACATCTTTGAGTTGTCAGATTCTATTAACTTAATAACAATCATCGAAGTCACAAATCTTTCCATTTCCTCAGGATTATGCGACAGTTTTCATTATTTAAATCTGATAAATAATCTGCAATTTCAACGAGACTTAGATGAATTAAAGCCATTTTTCGAGAATCTTGATATAGCGATTAAAAAAGTGTTGGAAGGAATTAAAAAGAATCGTTCTAACATCGGAAACGATGTCGATATGTGTCAAAAGAGATTGCAGAACAAATGGGACTTTGTCCGAAAAAAATACAGTGATCTTATGCGCTTCAGAGAAGCCGAAGTAGTCTTACAAATCGAAGCCAATACTTCTGGCTTTGTAGAAACTCTAAAGGAATTATTGCGCCTGACCTGTTTCGACAGGAATTTCCTGAAACAAGGAATTGATGTTTTAACGACGATTGGCAGACTCGTGAGACAAAAATTAAACGATTTCACTGACTTCCTGAAAGTCAAAGCTCTGAAGAATTTCACGTTAGGATCATATCCTTTTTTAAACAACTTAAGAACACTATTTTGTGACTTTTCTTGATTAGTTTTCAAAACATCGTCAAATTTGCATCTTCAACTTTATAAATATATCTTAACATAAAGAAAATCGTGTTATAATGGAAGAAAAACGGATATATTGATACACAAAATTTTACTTATGCATTAATTATACATAAACTTTACTTATACATTATTAAGAATCTAAATTCTCTGTTTAGGAATTATATACAAATTTTCAATATAAAAAATATGCAATGATCTAATGATTAATATTGTTTATTATTTATTTATAATATGTCTCCTTAATGTAACGTTTTTTCTCAAGAACTTCCCTAACAATCAACAAATATCTTGAGGAATTTCCAGGTCTAGTACATTTCATCTATATCGATAGGACTACTCATAGACTTGTGGCACCTACATTAGATTTCACAAGCATGGAAACGCTCGCTCTTACAACGAAAAAAGTAAATTCTCGAGATAGCATTATCTCAAAATTTTAATCTTTAAATTTAATTATACTTATGTGTGCGTGCGTGCGTGCGTGCGTGTGTGTGGTATGTGTGTGTGTGTGTGTGTGTGTGT